TCCTGGGGCCACCTTCTCAATGACCTCGCTCCACCACTTGCCCTCCCCCCATCCTTCGGTGACTCCTACATCCAGCTCATTAGCATTTATCCAGACAGTCTTCTTACAAAGAAACAACCCCCCATAGACCCACATTCCCCTCCCGATACCCTCTCATCTCCCCCCCCATCCCAGACCAGCCTGGGTAAAGGGCGTGTCCACACGGCCTGCTTCTGCGTCCTCACGGCCCCCTCACTGTGTAGCCCCCTCCAGGCTGCCTTCCGAGTCCATCTTCTGCCCCAGACGCTCCTGTCCCTGCCGTGAGCTGTGCCGTCAAGTCCACGGCCTTCTTTTCAAGCCTGGTCTCAGGTCTTAAGGCTGTGCAGCAACGCTCACGCCGTCTGCATCCCAGTCCCTCTGGATTTCCTCCCACTCTCAGGCTGCTCCCTCCAGCCTCCTCCGGAGGCTGCGCTCCTGCACAGGGCCTGTGGATGTTCAGTCCCTCCAGCCCCCTTCCAGGCTCACACCTCACTCTCACCGCCCAGCGGTCAAACGCCACCACAGAGATTCCCACAACTCACGAATCTCACTTCCCAGCCAGGCCTATCTCCTCAGCTCCAGCCTGCCCCTTGGCATCCATCTGTCTCCCGCGCACCCCACACTGATCATGCTCCCACTCCTAAAATGTGCCCTTCCCCCTAAAACGTGCTCCTCTCCACCTCGGCCTCTTTCAGGAATCTTCCTACAAAGCTCCCTTCTCTTCACCTCACACATTAACTCATCACCCAATTAGACATCTTCAATCTGGCCTAGTCTTTCCTACCATCATCCCCTGAGCCAAGCCTCCCTTTTCAGCCTCCCTGCTTCCAGCTGAGGTCTCCACCCAGAATTCAGTCTTCCCATGCATACCAGAGGGATTACTTCAAAAAACATGTCTCATTATATCACACACTTCCAACAGCTCTTGGGATGAAACCTCCTTACCGTGGCTTTTCCTGTCCCTGCGTGATCTGGGTGCTGCCCACCCCACCTTCATCTCAGGCCACCCTTCCCTTTTCTCACTTCAATCCAGCCACAGTAACTACTTTCAGGTCCTACTGAATGACAAGCTCCTTTTCACCTCAGGGCCTTTGCATGTGCTATTTCTGCTACCTGGGATTTTACCCACTTCCTTACCCAGCCAACTCATATTCACAGTCTAATCTCAGCTTACATGTTGCTTTCTCTAGAAAACCTTTTTTTTAACACCCCCAGACTAGATTTGGTCCTCTAGATGTTTCTTCTTTCGGTACTCTGTTTCTCCTCTGTACACCTGTAGCCATTATCATGCAGTTGTTTGAGCTGCATGACTGTGTCCCAGTGTTGGACATCTGTCATGTTCGTGGCCAGCCAGCTTATTCTGAATGTCTGTCTTATGTCTGAGGAACTTGTGACAGTGTGTGGATCCTCTCCGGGTAGAAGTCAGCATGGGCTCTCTAGCACCCCCTGCAGCTAGTGGGCAGCGTCAGGACCAAGGCCGTGCCATCAGAGGCAGCTCTGTGAGACCTGGGTTCAGAAGAGAGCAGAGTTCAGCGCCAAGTGCAATTGAGTTTTTGGCAAGCATGGCAGTGGAGGAGTTTGGCTTTTCAGGACAGCCGTGTGGGGTGTCCGGCATTGCGTCCCCAGTGTTACTGGTGTGAGCACCTGAGTCCGCAACCAAAAGTGGTGGAGTGGGGAATTCGCCACAGTGGTCCCCTGGTTGGGGGTGGGCGGTGCCTCTGACTGTACTCCTGGAGACCAGTGAGCTCCCTGGCGTTCTCGACTAAATCATGTTTCTGCTTAACCCAGCCTGAGGGGTCCTGTGGCCTGCAACAGAGACCTCTCGCTCATATTCTCCCTAACCAGACCCTAAGCCACTGAATAGGAACGTTCTAGAATTGTTTGCAGCCGTGTTTCTAAGTGCTAGCAAGGTGTCTGCCACCTAAGCAAGTACTTAGCAAACAGGTGGCCCCATAGAACCCAGAGCCCTAACAGGAATGCCCATGAATATCCCTGAGGAGAACAAAGTCTGAGTCTGATACCCACCATCCTGTCCTGTAGTCCCTTCCTCCAAATGTTGCTCCTCAAGCTGAGATCAGCCACACTCTTGCTTCCTGCCCAGCAGATGGTGGCTCTTGGCCTGGTGGGTTTCTAGGATCTATACAACCAGCCCGAGTCCCTTCCTCCAGGAAGCCTTCCTTGACTGCTCCTGCCCTCACCGACACCCTGTTCTCTGAGTTCCCACAGCCCAGAGAATTTGAGCCCCCCACACTCGTTCTTATTCACATCCAGGTTTGAGCTCATCCCTGGGGATCTCTTCAACATTCCTGGGGTCTCCTCTGGGACAGGGAACAGGCCCCTCTTTTTTACCCTCCCTCCTCCTCCCCACAGTGGAGAGGAGTAGAAGTTGGCCACAACAGGGACGTTTCTTCCTTCCCTTTAGGAAACTCCTTTCAGGACCTGAGGAGAAGCTGGCTGGAAGGAAAACGCTACAGTGGATGATGGAAAATCCTACTTTCCCTGCTAAAACCAGGGGCCCAGGGAAACCCCTCCCATCTAGTGTGAACCCTGTATAGAGATTCCAGTGAGCACAGGTTCTCCTATCTCTTCAGCTCTCACTCTTCTTATCAGCTTCTTCCTCCTCAAGACTGGGGTCAGAAGGACTTGGGGGTGTCCCATTCCCCCCCTCCTCCAAAAGCCTCCTGCCCCCCTACGCTGGCCAGACCATGAGGTCCTTCTTCCACCAGCCCTGCAGGCTCACTGTGGCCCAGGCCAGGCCCTGGGAGCCCTGTGTCCATCTCCAGCTTTGGGGCCTCATCAGGGAGCTTGGTCATCCCAGCCAATGTTCTTGACCGCCCTTGTTCTGCCACCTGGTGGCCAAGTTAAGCATTGCTCTTCTCAACTCTGTTGCCTGTAATTCAATGTCCCTTTCGAAAAGCTCTCAGTCAGCTATTGACCGACTCCTTCCCGCTGCAGATGGGGTTGCTGAGGCCCCGAGAAGGGAAGCGTTTGCCAATCAAGGAATCTGCCCAGAAACCCTCAATGTAGCCCCAGGCAAAGGATCCTTGTAGTGGAAGAGACTAGCAAAGTGGTGGGAATTTGAGGCTCCAGTAGAAACTGGACGGAGCAAGGAGTAGACTTCCAGCCATAGATGAAACCTCTAGGGAAGGGATGGACAATTCACAAAGTGAGCTTCTGCTTCGAGCACTGCTACCGCCACAAACTGCTAACACTAACTGCTAACTAACCACTACTGATGCCAGTTAAGACTTCAGGAGGGGCTTCTCTGGCGGTGCAGTGGTTAACAATCCACCTGCCAATGCAGGGGACACAGGTTTGAGCCCTGGTCCGGGAAGATCCCACAGGCTGCGGAGCAACTAAGCCCGTACGCCACAACTACTGAGCCCGCCTGCCACAACTACTGAAGCCCGCGCACCTAGACCCCATGCTCTGCAACAAGGGAAGCCACCGCAATGAGAAGGCCACGCACCGCAACAAAGAGTAGCCCCCGCTTGCCACAACCAGAGAAAAGCACACGTGCAGCAAAGAAGACCCAACACAGCAAAAAATAAAATAAATAAAATTTTAAAGTAAAAATAAATAAATAGAAGGGCACAGCCCCTCCCCAGGGTTTAGGAAAACAAAAACTTCAGGAGACCACTCTGACTATTAAAACGAAATCTCTCCCATTTTTGAACCACTCACAGTAGATCTGTCCTGCATAACTCAGCTCCATTCCCCAGCCTCCAGGAAGCCTTCCTTCACTACCTCAGCCTTCCCTGCACATTGTCTTCTCTTCTGATGGCCACTCTTGCCCTTACAGTCACAGGGGTTCCAGTGAAAGGAGGTGCAGCCATTTGAAACCCAAGGTCACATTGTTGGCCATAAATGCCCAGCTGCCCAGCACTTTCCTGGTCAGACAAATGTCAAAGTGTGGCCACAGTCTAAAAACCCTACCATGCATTTCTTCCTTTAGTCTCAGATCATAAAAGCAGTTCATACTCATTGTAGGGCATTTGGGAGAAACAGAAGGGATTTAAAAAAAAAATAAACATCAGCCATGATCTCTTTACCCAAAGACTGGGTAATGCCTGTGTTGACAGAGCTGCTGGTGGGAGTGGAGATCTCGCCGGAGCTCTGGAGTGCAATCTGGCACCACTCCGTCACGTTAAGAAAAGGCACAACCGCTGACCTGGCACTTCCACTCTGTGGTATGTGTCCCGGAGAAAGGCTTGCTGGCATGGGGGCATGAGGGCACAAGCATGTGAACATTCACCTAGAGGCAGGGGCAGACAGGACGGTCACACATGGGCGGTGACACCATGTGGCACCATACGGCAGTCAAGACAGGCAACCAGATGAGCACGTGGCAGCAAGGGTGGATGTCTTAAAAGTACCAACCTGAGAGGAAAAACATCAGAAGCAGGATGAAGCCTATAACCGACAGCATTTATGTAAATTAGAAGTACACACACACACAACACTACACATTTTGCAAGAGCACAGAAACACAAGAATTCACATTTAACACATTGGAATGTTTGCCTGTGGGAGGAGGGGAATGGGAGTGCAGGTAGAGACAAAAGAGAATACATTTTTTTAATGAATTAAACAAGAGGAACCTTGCACAGACAAGTGATGGGGACGTGACATGAACTGAGACGCGATAAATGCACGTCTGCACCGGGGGTTCAAATAAAGCCTACAGATCCCTCCCCTGCAGAGGTGCACGGTTTCACTCAAATGTGTATCTATTCATTTACAAGTTTATTGGCTCCTCTGGCGTTGGGCTATGGCCCAGACTCCAGGAAGAGGAACATGAGAAGAACAGACAGGAACCAAGGAAATCAGAGGTGGACCCACAGAGACCCGGGCGAAAAGAGTCAGGGGCAGGACAGGGAAGAAAGGCTGGGCAGAAGCTTGGGTGGAGGCGTCAACTGAGGGTTCCCAGGGGCCACTGCTCCCACTCCTCTGAAGGATGGTGGGTCCGTGTAGCTGCCCATGTTCAGGGGTGGATTCCAGTCACGTGATGTGGCCAGCCTAGCACACAGATGTCAGCACCTTCGCCCTTGAGTGGGAAGGCATCGTCCACTTGGCGTGAGTCCTCCAGGCTGGCAGAAGTTCAGCATCATGGCCACGCCATCTCCGTGAGATCTCAGTCCTCACCTCCAAGCAAGGACAAGGGGGAGGATGTTAGGAAGGTCCCATTGCCACTTCTTTACTCAACCCCAGTAGGGCTGAGGGTGCAGGGGGAGACCATGCAGGAGAAACAGAGACAGGGATTCCTGGAGCAGGAGAAGCTATGGTAGGCCACAGCCACTGCTAAGTACTACCTCTAGAGGATACTACTTCCTCCTTCCTGTATTTCTGACTATTCCCTTTGGCTCCTTTCTCTTTTAGCACTGCCTTTGTCTAGGCCCAGTTAAAGATATTTATGGGTGATTTCTTGAGTTTCTGGCCAAAAAACTACTCTGTCTTCCCCAAAAGCTTAGACCATCCCCTGCTCTGGGGCTCATTCCTGCCCCTGCCCACTGAGCTGAACTGTGGCCACTGGGAACCTGTCCAGGGGACATGATCTGAAGGAAGAGAGGCCTCCAAACTCTGTCTGAGGAGGTGCAATTGAGGGGATTGAGAGTAACTGAAAGAAAAGCCACTTGGGAGATGTGGTGGGTGGGGGGAGTGTCTGTATCTTCACCTCTCCAAGGAGCTGCTGGAGAAAAGGGGGGCTGAGAGGCTGTGACATTTCTGACAGAGCTGAATTTAGGCTGTGACAAAGACAAAAAGGAGACAGATTTCCATTCAACATAAAGCTTGAATGGAAACATGAGCTTCCTGATGATAGAAAGTGTCATTGATAGGTAGTAAGCTCCCTGTCTCCAGAGGCATTTAACTATCTGGTCCCCAAACCTCTTCCTGGGACAGATCCCTTCACAACTCTTTGTGGAATCCCCTTTTCCAGATCCCACCCACCTCGTCCAGGGCTGTTCCTTGCCCCTCTCAGCAACCCCAGGGCCCATGAGCCACTACAACCAGATACTGCAGCCCTGCGTCTGCATCCAGACGCCAGATAAGGCTGCAGAAGACTCAGAAAGGCTAGGATGGGAGCAAAGAATGTCAGAGGGGAGGGAGCCAATAAGAGACAGTGGTGGCAGAATAGGGGGGTGCAATGCTCCACAGCTGGGGTACAGGTATGTACATCCAGGTCTCCAGCAGAACGCAGAGCCCACAGCAAATCCTTGGCCACCAGAGGGAGCCCATGACTCTGCCTGTGCACACAGCGACAGGACCTGGTTGTCTGGGGCACTGAGTTAAATTCTCCCACTCCTCCCTATAAAGCAAGTCTGTCCTAAAGGAAAAATGCAAAGTGTCTTCTGGGCGGGATGTTATAATTCACTCCTCTTTACCATCTCTCCATAGTTCTACATGTGCACTGGTACCATCTCTTCTGTCTATTCATGTGTTTGTCCATCTCTGGTCTGTTCTTTTTGTGCATCTCCCCTCCAGGTGCTCTCTCTCAGAGTCCCTGGCTTTTCTCTCCATCATCCTCCCTGTCTCTGCACTTGAATTTATTTTCCTAGACTTTGTATGTCTACCTCTGACTTTCTTGGTTCCTCTGTGTCTTGTCCCTGTCTCTCCAGGAGCCGACTTCTTCCTTCCCCCACTCTCTCTCGTTCAGTTTTAGAAACACAGAAGTAAAGGATCCTTTTAACCCACCCCTGGATCCCTCTTCTGATCCCTGAAAGGCCTTCTCCACCTCCTGCTGAATGGACAGTAATCTTGGCCCAGCCCAGAGGAGGGATGGATAAAAGATGTGTACAGGAAGTATTCAGGTTAAGCTTGATCCAGAAACTCAGGACAGATTTCCACAAAGGATTGCAGGACTCAGTGTTTGGCCTGATCGGGGATTTACAGGGGCTGGGCAAGAGAGAGGCAGCCTTAGGACTGGTGGGAGGGAAGGCTTAACAAATAAGGATAGCCTGAGTCACATACCTCTTGGTTGAGGAAGCAGTACAGGATGGCAACAATGAAGCCCTGCGGGGCCAAAGAGAAAGGACCCCATCACCTTGGCCTGGCCTCAGGGTGTCTGCAGTCTTCCTACTACCTTTTTCCCCTACTCTCCGCCAGGCTGTGACTTGGACCAAGTGTTTGGGAAAAGGGAAAGTAGACGTATTCATCACTTACCATGTGCCAGGCATATTGTCACATCTAATTGTCATAGCAAGCCTGCCAAGGCTGTACTGTTGGCCCCGTTGGCCTGTTTCTCTGATTCTCTTTATTTCTGCATCCCCTAGTATTAAGCACAGAGCCTGACACATAATAGGTGCTCAGTAAATGTTGAATAGATTGGATGAATGGATGGGTAGATGGATGGATATGTAGATAGGTGCATGAGTAGTTGAATGAATAGAGAGATGGATGGATGGGAGAAAAACAGACAGATGGATACTTGAATAGATGGATGAGTGGCTGGAAGGAAGAATCACGAGCCTAGTTGCCCTCACCCTACCATGAAATCAATCAAGCCTGTGGGCGGCAGCACCTTCCTCCTGCCCAAGGACTCAGAGGGAAGGAGTGAGTGCTGTGGGGGTCCTCACCTGGAAGGAACCCAGTCCCAGCTCCAGGGGGAGGCGAATGCCCAGGCCAGCACTGTCAGGCAGGAAGTTGAAGATGATGTAGTGAATCCCAAACAGCGGGATGAGGAGAAGGGTTGACTTGGAGAGACGCCTGCAGAAAAAAAACAAGCCCAAGGCAGGCATTAGAAAGTCCCATGGGACCCCTACCTACTTTCACTTCCCACCAGCTTCCCATATAAATTCTACACACCAGCCACCCTGGAGAACTCCCCACATGCACCGTGGGCTTCCTTACTTTGGGCCCCTGGATTTTGCTGTTCCCTCTGCCAAATTCTCTTGTCTCTATTTATTCTAGTCAAGTCTATGCATTTTTCAAAGCCTAGTTCAAAGACACCTCTTCCAGGAAGTCTTCCCAGACTGTACTCCAACCCCACCATCTGTTTAGAAAGGATCTCCTTCCACAGGCTCCCGTAGAAATTGATCCCAACACTCACCAGCCTATTTGGCCTGGCAACTGGCTGTTTGGAGCCCCATTCTTCCTATATTGTGACCTACTGGAGGGCAGGAACCGTATCTATTCTCTCTGGGGACATAGGGACAAGCACTGGACCAGGATCATGGATGCCTAATCGTGCATAAAAGAGAACCATGCTGACTCCTACTCCAGTTATGTCCCCAGAACCCCTGGAAACACACACACACACACACACACACACACACACACACACACACACATTACCAGTACTGACGCTGGGTGTGGAGGCTGCCCTGAGCTGGCTCCAGTTTCCTCAGCAAGATACGGATAATATTGAGAAAAAGCCCAAAGTTCACCTGGAAATAGAGGTGTAGGAAGGTGGAAGGCAAGGGTCAGGGGTGACCCAAATGGCCTGGGGTGGGACATCTTTGGGGACTAGAAACCTCAAATCCTTGAGAGGCAGGGATGTGCAGGTAGATGGATGTGCAGGTCATTGCTCTAGACCTTGTCGACTGAGACTGGACAGTCCCATAGGGGGCTCAGGGTCCCCCTCCCTTTCCAGTCCCAGGACCAAGGGTGGGAGGTCAGGCCTTGCCATCCTGCCTCCAGCACCTCTCAGGCTCTTCTCTGGCACAAAGCATGTGGCCTTCTCTTTGTACAACTGCAAAACTGACAAAAATGCGTACATTCACCCAGGCCACAAAAACCAGTCCTAGCTGCCCTGTCTTCCACGTGGGAGCAGGTAGGAGTTTCAGCTGCCGCGTCTTCTACTCTCCCAGCCCAGCCTCACTGCAGTGGTAGGTGATCTGCAACCAGGGCGCCAGACTCATCAAAGCTCTGAACTAGAAGAGGCCTGAGCGCTGGTTTTACCAATGGGCTGCTGAGGTCCAGAGAGGGCCTCACAGAGAGTCTGGGGCAGAACCAGGCTGGAACCCCATGTGTCCTGACTCCCAGCCTGGAGTCATGTTTCCTGCTGTGTATGGCTGCTCGGTGGACCCAGGGAGGTTGGCTGAATAAAGCAGAGGACGCTGGCCCCAGGCACTGACCCCAACGGAAAGGACGATGGGTCCTTTGATGATCCACCAGTAGGGAGAGCTGTCGTCCAGGTCCCAGCACCTGGGGAGAGGACAGGCCGGGACTGATGGGGAGGTGGGATGGGGTGGGAAGAGTGCAGCTGCTGGAAAGCCCTTTTCTGTGGCACCCATGCTCCTCCCTCCTCTCTACCTACCAGCCTCTAGGTTCCTCACTTTGGAATTTGAGCCTTCTAGCCTCACCCTGCTCCCAGCCAGCCTTGTCTATGTCCTCTCAGACACTTAGGCACTTTCCAAAGGCGTGCCCTGATGCAAGCTGGGTTCACTGCTTCTCTCCACCTAGGTGGTTGAGTTTCTCAAAACTCAGTCTGTTTGCTGCCTTCTTGTGGCTCCAACATGCCCCCTGTTCCAGAAGGCCCCCACTTACAGCCCCCTACCCCCTGAGCCCCGAACCCTGAGATTCTGCACCCCCTTCGTGCCCAGGCTCAAGCCCCTTTTGTGCGATCCACGACTGCATCTCCCACCCCTCTCCCAAGCCTGGGAGCTCTCCTCCTCTTCCCAGCTTGGAGGACAGCCTCATTGCCTGAGCGTCCAGTCCATGCCCCATGGGGACCCAGTACGGGTGTGATGAAGAGATAGCCCAGACTCACGCGACATCCTCAAAGGCCAGCTTGCAACCCACCCACATGCCGGTGAAGAGCAGGGGAAGCCCTGAGGGGGTACAGAAAAGACACGAGTAAGGGGTCTTCATCCTGTGCCCACCTCCCACCACTACAGCCAGTCACACAGGACACTGTGAATGTGGAACCAGGAGAGAGCCCGGAGACCGGGAACCTGGCCCTGAACTCCAGCACTTGCTGTAGGACTGTAGGCTGCCCTTCCTCTCCCTGGGCCTTGGGGTCATCGTGAGTGAGATGAAGGGGCCTTGGTGTGAGCTCCCTGGGCACCCCCGACCCCCCAACACCCGCACAGTGCCCAAACCAGCCCTCGGTGCTCACCCCAGCCAGCAAGGACCAGCCACCAGAAGGTTCTCCTTGCGCTGGGTGACGTGGAGGCCAAGAGGCAGGTCAGGTAGACAGCTTCCGCCAGCAGCCAGCTGAAGTTGGTCATGGTGGCGAAATGGGAGGTGGCCACAGAGACCTTGCACAGAACCTGCGGGCCAGGGGCTGGGCACTTCAGAGCCCGGACATCCAGTGGAGCCCCGCGAAGTCTCCCCTACCCCACTCAGGCCCCAAACCTCCAAGTCTCCTCCACCTTGGGCTGCCCCAGAGGGGTGTGTGGTAGGGTAATGTGGTGGTTAAGAGCACAGATTTGGGATCCAGACAGCCTGGGTTCAAATTTACCAGCTGGATAACCTTCCCACACCTTAGCTTTTCATCTCTAAAAGGAAAACCTTCCAGTGCCGGCTCGCGGCCTCATCATAAGGATTAAACGGAAACCCTGTATACGAATTGCTACTGTTTTTCTTCTCACCGCATCCCTCCTGAGCTCAAGTCAATCCCTAGAGCTGAGGATACGGAACACCATTTATTCACGCACTGCTCCATCCTGCGAACATACGCGCGTGTACCCGTGCATGCATTCATGCATTCACTGCATGACTCTGCTCCTCTGTCGGGTGAGGAGCTTCTCCTCTGAGCTCACAATGGCCCAGGCTTGGCCCCTCCCCCACCATTCAGCTGCCGGGTGACATCGCCAGTCATCCCTCATCTACATATGGGACTAAAATGAAAATAGATGTAGGAAGTAAAAGGAGATAACATATGTAAAGCATTTAGCGTAACACCTGTCACATAAGTGCTCGGTACAGATACTATTATTATGTCTTTCATTAACGAATGAAGGTCACCTGTTCATTCATGTAGCTGTTCATTTCCAGCACGGTGTCAGAGTACCTGGTAAGTGCTGGGCCACCACACTCAGCCCAACTTCCCTTATTTTCGGTCTCTTCTCATAGCCCACCTCCCTGCCTCCAGGATGACACCCCTGTTTCTTGGACTTGCCCCAGCTTCTCCTGTCCGTGAGAGCAGGTCCTCTCACACTGGACACGTTCACCCTGGCCTTCCCCACTCCCTCCCTATCATTGCTGCCCACCCAGCTCCAAAGCTATCTCCTCCCTGAAGCCCTCTCCTCTACCTAGTGGTCCCATAAAATCTGGTATAATCTGTCCCCTTAGGCACCCGGGGTGCTCCTCAAGGGAGGCACACGGCTCTGCCCAGGCCCTGACATACCCACGCCCAGCACAGACAGACAGTGCTCGGAGGAAGTGTGAAATGGAAAGGCTGGCTGGAGTGAAATGGGGTCCAGGTTGGGATATGGGATGGGGAATGGAACAGGAATACAGAATGTGGAGTGGAGAGTGGAATAAGGGAAGCGCTGTGGATGGGCACCGTTGTCCAGGAAACAGCCGGAGGATTTAGAACTTGACCGCAAGGAGGGGGAGGAAGGGGGAGAGGTGATTTCCCTCTCTGTCGTTAGCAAAGCGGGAGCTGCAGGGTCAGCCCCCGCTACCCCGACAGGCACATCTGCATCTCTAATCCAACCTCCTCGCCCGCACCCGCACCAGCACCCCGACCCATGGCTGTTACTGTGGAGAAGCTGCAGTGGTCCGTGTCCTCGCCGTGAAAGAGGGTGGCATCCTTCAGGAACACAGCTCCCGCCTTGAGAATAAAGGTGACGAACAGTTGGGTGTGGATGTAGTTCCTGGGGCAGTGGAGCCTCCTGGAGGGGACAGGAGGGGAGAGGAACAGGACGCAAGGTGGGAGAGGTGCTTCGGGTGTGCTCAAAGCGGGGCTTGGGGAGGCTGAGCAGGGCGGGAGGCGAACTGAATTGGCTTGTATTGGATTGCCTCAGATTGGATTGCATGGATTGCGTTGAACTTGAGGCTTCAGCTATAACCTTGCAGGACAGCTGGGCTCAGTGCGGGTGAGAGGACAGAGAATAGCAGTCAGTCCCTTGCCTTCAGGGAGCTCACGGTGTGGAGGACAGAGGCAGAAAGGACAGGGTCCTGCCCAGGGGAGCCCCCTGATGATCAGAGAGAGGCAGCTCATCCCCAGGAGACAGAGAACAGCGCAGGCCAGGCTGGGGGGTGGGGTGAGGTGGGGCTTTGAGAGGGCAAAGATCAAAGGGTTGAATTAGCCAAGAAGGGCTTCACAGCAGAGCCAAAGAGGATCCTTGAGGCAGACGAGAGCTGAGCTTTGAACGTTAACGGATGTGAGGGCACTGAGAAAAAGCGAGGCAGGCATTCCAAGCAAATAGAATAAGTTCCACACAAGCAGAGGTGTAGAGGTGGGAGCCAGGCCTGGAGTGTGAAGGGAGGGGTCTGCTCCTGGGGGACGGGAAAGGAAAAGTTAGAAATGGCTGATGCCAGATCTTGCATGTCCAGGTAAGGGTTCGAGTTTGGCGCCGTGGGCGATGCGGAGGCGTAGGTTCTGGAACAGGTGATGAGGATGGCGAACCTGAGGGCAGCCAGGATGGTGATGGCCATGAAGAGGGCCACGGCAGAGACGCTGTGGCCCATGGTGTAGACGACCCTCACGGTGGAGAAGTAGGATTTCTGGGGAGGGTGGAGACGGAGACGGAGGAACGCTCAGCAACTGGGCCTTTGAGGAAAGGGGGGCTTGACAATCAAGCAGGTGACATTTTCAATTCTATCCCGAACCTGCCCGTGTCGGGGCAGGGGCGTCTGTGGGGACCACAGCAAACTCCCTCGGGAACTGAAGCGAAGCTTTTGTTTGCAGCCTGTCGGCTGGTGAGGAAGCAGGGGAGGGGTGGGGGGAGGGGGAGGGGAGCTAGATGCTTAACTCTGGCTGTCGCTGGGGGTAGGGGAGGCTGCCACAGAAACCGCACGTCCCCGTCCCCGGGGGAGTGACAAAGCTCAGGAGGAAATCGGGCTTGTTTATAGACATCCAGCTTGCTCACTGGCTTGGGAACGCGGCATCCCCAAAAAAGGGGACAGGTGCAAGGAAAAGCTCTTTCCAAGACCAAGGATTTGGATCCATCAAAGTCAAGCCTGGACTCCGGAGATGGGGACAGAGCGTGCAGCCTTGCGGGGAGGGGATCGATCGGGGACCCAGCTCCCCTGAGGGTTGCAGGCAATCATCGCCCCTCCCAGACTCAGTCTTTTTATCTGAAAAAATGTCAGACTCGTGCTTTGCCTTCAGGGCTGGGGGGAAAGAGATATGGAATTATGGGTGTGGAGGCCCTTGCAAAGGCCATGCTCAATTTGGAAGCGTGGGGTGTGCCAGCTAGGTTAGGGGGCACTGACATCACTCCAGGCTTTGGTTTCTCTCGCTTGCCCACAGGCTGAGGGCCAGAGAGGGCAAGGAGCTTGCCCAGGACCACTAAGGGCCTTTGTTTCCCAGAACTACTCTCAACTCCCTGCCCTGGAGGCCTGGGCACAGAGAGGGTACGCCAAGGAGAAAAGAAGACGGTGGCCAGCACATCTCCCTCCCTGTCCTCTGCCTCCCCTCTCCCTCCTAGCTGCATGGTCCACCTGTCACCCTAGAGCAAGTTAGCACAAGACCCCCTCTCTTCCAGACGCTGCCATCTTCCGGAAATGTGCTGTAATGGATATTCCAACCTGCTGACTACAGTGGGGATGGCGGCCCCTACAGTTGTGAGGTCCACCACCCAATCCAACATCCACGGCGATCCTTCCTCCAAGACGCCAGGAGCCTCTCACCTCTTCAGTTAGCAGCTCCAGGGGCACAGGACAGGCCTCAGGATAGGGCGGGAAGGGCTCAGACCAGCCCGTGATGGTGCAATCCCGTTTCAAGGCCCCGGCCCCTGGGAGGCAACAGAGGCGGGGAAGGAGAGATTTTGTCAGGACAGCTGCTCCTCTCCCCAGGAGAGGTTGGGGAGCCGGGGAGTGACCCTGGCAGGGTCTGCACAGACAGTCCATCTCTGCAGCAGAGAGAGAGGAGCCTTCTCTCCAGAGGCCTGGGGTCCAGGCCCAGCCTGCTTGGGACACGGTCTAGGAACTTCCTCTCTGGCCTCAGACTCACCTTCTGTTCATTTAAAGAATGGTTCCCTTGAGGAGCAGAGTAGCAAGTTGGGCCTCCAGTGTCTTAAGGGCAGGAGGGAGAAAGGAGGCCCTCTCTGCCCCTGGAGGGACCGTCCACCCCAGACGCCCAGGGAGGTGAAGCAGGCAACTTCCCAGAGGACATTTACTCAATTCCAGGCCCTGAGTTCAGCACTGCCAAGCCCCGATCATTAACCCCACCCTCCATGCTGTTAGTGCTCTTGTTTTCCCCAGGTTGCGGGAGGTCAGAGAGCTGAGGGTCTGGGAAGGTGACTGACTCGCCCAAGGTCACACTGAAAGAGGGGAAGGCGGAAGGCGGTGCTCAATCCAGGTCTGCCTGGCCCCAAAGCCAGGGGTGTGGCCACCACATTCTGCCACCACCAGATGAAACCACGTCACCTCCGCGTCCCCCCCTTCCCCCATCACACCCCCATCGCCCCTCACCTGGCTCTGAGCTGAAGTGAGAGAAGAAAGCCGGGCAGGGGAGGCTCACCCACTCGCCAGAGCCTGCCGTCGGCCAGCACAGCAGCCCGTCCCAGGTCCTGGGGCAGCCTAGACAGCAAGATGGGAGCAGAGGAGACCCAGCCCAGGGGACAGGCTTGTCCACCATCCTGAATGGGAGGCTGGAGGAGATCAGGAAATCCGTGACAAGCCACCCCCGCCCTCCCAAGCCACGTACCCAAGGTGGAGTTGGACATCCCCTCTGCCGCTTGCAGACAAGCTCGCTCATCCTCTCTCAGCTGGGTGATGTAGTCACACTCTGGGTGCACGTGGCCCAGTACCTGCAGGAGACAGTGAATGGGATGAGCTAAGCCAGCTGGATGCTTCTTCTGGGTTTGCTGGTCTAATGACCTGAAGACAGAGATAAAGCCTGATTCATTTCCACGGCCGTGCTCTTAAGCACAGGGCCCGACTCATCCAGGTATGCTTAATGGATATTTGGACGAAAGGCAGACAAGCAGGAAGGGAGGGAGGCAGAGAGAATAGAGATTTGGACGGCTGCTTCCCCTTTTCATTTCATGGAAGTAAGTTCTGAGTCACATTAAACAAAAGTCTTCAGAAGATCTCACAGAGATGGCCAACTCAATAATGCATCCGTGTAGCAGCCTTTTTTCCTTCTTTGTCTTACTCCCCTGCTCTGTACTCCCACTCCCCAAAGGCAATTCTGCATAAAGTACCTTGGTAGACAGAGTAATGCCCCCCCCCAAATGTCCATGTCCTAATCCCTGAAACCTGTGACTATGCAACCTTACAAAGAGACTTGGCAGATGTGATTAAGTTAATGATCTGGAGATGGAGCGATTATCCTGGATTATCTGGGTGGACCCAACGTCATCACAGGGGTCTTTATAAGAGGGAAGCAGGAGTGTCAGGGTGAGATAAGGAGATATTCTGACAGAAGCAGAGGAGTATGCGTGTGAGTGTGTGTGTGTGTGTGTGTGTGTGTGTGTGTGTGTATGAGGGAGAGAGAGAGAGACAGAGAGACAGAGAGAGAGAGACAGAGATGAAGATGCTACACTGCTGGCTTTGGAGGTGTAGGGTCATGAACCAAGGAATGCAGGTGGCATCTAGAAACCGGAAAAGACAAGGAAGCAAGTTCTCCCCTACAGTCTCCAGAAAGCACTATGCAGCCTGCCAACACTTTGGTTTTAAGCCACTGAAAACCATTTTGGACTTCTGACCTCCAGAATTGTAAGAAAATAGATGTGTGCCGTTTTAAGTCACTAAGTTGGTGGTAACTTGTTACGGCAGCAATAGGAAATTAATACAACTACCTACACCGATGCCTTTGTCTCAGGCTCTGCTTTCAGAGGTACCCTGGCAAAGATATGTGAAAAAAATAGGTAGATTAGTAAGTGAGAGGATAGACGGATAAGTGAATGAGTAGATGAATGAGGTGAAAGAGATGAATGTGGATTCATGGATGAATGAATGAACGGGTAACTGTGTGGCTGGCTGGTAGAATGAGTGAACATACGTACAATAGATAGGTGAATAGATAGACGGACAGACGGATGCGTGAATACATGCATGGATGGGTGGATGGGTGGACAGGTGGATGGATGAGGGCATGCACATGAAGATGGATGGGTAGGTAATGGACAGATACATGGAGGGATAATGGGTTTGTGGTGTGACTCAGTAATCAGGAAGGATTACAGTTTAGGAGTTTCCCAGAGCCTGGTGCCACCCAGTGACCACAGGGAATGATCCCTGGAAGCTGGTAAAGAAGCTGTTTTTCTGGAAACCCTCTAGCAGTATTTCTGAGAGTGTGCCTCATGATCTAACTGTAGATCACCTGGGATGGAACCAAGAATATGCAGAGATCTATGGCTGGATCTAGGACTTTGCATTTTAACAAGTTCTCTAGGAAGCTGGGAGTCAAAGGCAGGAATTCTTAACACCTCTCCCTCCCACTGCCCCAGACTGGAGAAAAACTGAAATGGACTGTCCAACAGGGCACAGCCCCAGACAGATACATGTGAGGGAACCCAACTTTATAAGACACGCTCCTTACACTGTGAACATGATCCATAGCCCACATTTGTGTACAACATGCACATCAAATTGGATCAGTGTAGACTTCTGTCCCCAAGGATTTCACAGGGAGGCGTGGAGTGAGAATGGGAGCTAAAACCTGGTCCTGATAGATCCAATACAAACTGATCAGAGGCAGGACAGGCACTATAGGAGGGTGGCCCTTCTCACAGGGACTGAGAAGGTGGCATTTGAGCCGGACCTGAAACAAAAGGAGCTTTTATTTTTTTTTTTAATTGGTGAGGAAAAGAGCACTGGGGACAAAGAATGTGCACAGACAAGGGAGTGGGCAGATGCAGCTGAGCTGAGTGAAGGGAGAGCCCTTCCCATGGCCATCCTCGCACCCACACGCACACACACATGCACACACAAGCCCCAATGTCTGGCACAGAGTCTGTATCAGCAGGTGTTTAATTAACGCCCAGTGTCCTTTCACATAAATCCAGGCACAGCAAAGAGCACAGTGGATGCGAGACAGGGGTTGGGGTCAGAGAGAAGGGACTTCAAACACCAGAGTGGGGACAGTGGACAGTAGGTGACCACATGGAAGGGACCCAAGGACAGGCCAGTGGGCTAAGAGAGGACCTGGAGACCCAGCCCAGTAAGTAGGCTCACCCCTACCAGCCCTGCCCTACGGGGAAGGACACCCCTGTCCTGACCTGCTGACCCTGTTCGCCCAAATCCAGCTTGGGCTCAGCTCTGCCACCTCCTGCTTGGGCCCCTGGGACCTCAGGTTACAGATTCCACCTGCCGCCCAGGCTCTGGGTCTCCAACCTGGTGGTGCCTCTTGGCTTCCTCCCTGGGACTCAGGGACCCAGGAGCCATCTCAGAGCAGAGCCCCCGTCTTATCTCCCCCAGTAGCAGTCTGATGGTCAGAAGCGGGTAGATGGGGAGGGCAGACTCGCCTGATATGGGATTGCAGGCTCCGTCTGCCCTTCCACCCCCTCCACGTCTGCAGCCCATCCCTTCCTGGGGTACCTTCTCAGGGCCTAACTAGGGAACCACTGAGGCCAAAAGAACTAGGGTCCCTGGTGGGAAGCCTCCCACCAAAAGGAGAGACAGACAGCCCTCACAGTTCCTAAGGGGAGGAAAATTCAGGGAAGCCCAACTCATGACCCAGATGTGTGGTGGAGACGGTACGGGGTGGGGAACGGTGGACCTTTCCAAGACTTACCCAAACCCCGCCCCACTCACCTAGGGCTCGGGGATCATCTGGCCCCTGTACCAGACCCACTCCTCCTGAGGGGAGACTGTCACCCTGTGTACCTCGGCCTTGCTGACCGTGACTACAGCTAACCCGGGGTCTGTGCAGGATGGAGGCCACACTGGGAAACAGTGACTTGGTGCCGGCCCTGACCCTGACACCAGCAGCTGAATGACCCCCACAGGATCTCAGTCTCCCCTCCTAAAAATAGAGCATTCATTGTAGGGTGCACACAGATGAGAGGCAGGAGGCACCCCTCACTGAAGAGGGGAGGGCATAGAAGTCTCCCATACTGCACCCCATGCCCAGCCTTTGACAAGTCAGATCTGACTTCATGCACAGCAGCCCTGGGGGGCAGATACTGTGCTCTTTTACAAAGTGAGGCTCAGGAAAGGACTTGCACAGATCACACAGCTAGTTTCACGGCTCCAGCTTTCAAGTCTAAAGGCCATGCATGAGGGGCAGGTGCAGCACTGTGCCTGGGAGGCGCGGCTCGGGCCCCCGCCCACATACACACACTCACACACAAGCCAGCGGAGCAGAGGGAGCCCTCAGTCCCCGCGGGCTCTCAGGAGTCCCTGGGAGCTGCAGCTGCCTCCCCGGGACCTGTGTCTCCCATCCTGGTCCCCGCGTCCCTGTCACTTGCATTCACTCCGGGAAAGCATGCTGGGGAAATGTGGCACATTCAGAGAGGGCCCCCTCCTGGCAGCCCGTTCTCCAGCCCTCTAGGCCTCGGAGCTGGACAGCTTCTCAGGGCCCCAGGGCGTATCATGCGAGGAAGTGTCCCCCAAATGCCGGAGGGGAGCAGCTGCTCACCACTTACCCAGGACCTCTCAGTCCCTGGCCACACCCTCTTCAAAGGAAGCAACCAAACGGAGTGGCTCCAGGGCTCGTGGGGAGAGAGAGGGCTCTGGGGAGCTTGTCGGAGGAGGGGGTGTGGATAAGACTTGGGGTGTGAAGGGGAGGCGGACGTACTGTCTGGGGACAGCGTCTTGTGGCCCCCAGAGGGTGCAGACAGGCCCTGCGGGGAGCAACGGGCAAGCAAATTCCGTTCAGCCCCAGGAAGGACCGTTTGCTTGTCAGAGCTCCCCAGGGATGAGTAGCCTGCCTGGGAAGGGTGGGGGAGGAGAGGAGGGGGCCATGGAGGAGATGAAGAGTTCTCCAAGTCAAGCTACCACTGGCTTGGTAGAGTGACTCCTGTGCTGGTGAAGGGTGGACCCCAGTACGGCCCTGTGGCTCCCAGATCTCGAACCCAGTGGGAGGGGCAGGAGGGTCTGAGCTGGCTACTCACGATGGGTAAGGGGCGCAGCAAGCAGAGGATGCAGGCACCCCACACCTTGCTGTCCATGGTAGGGGCGTGGCCACGGCTCCTCGGTCAGCCTCGGTGAGCCCCGCTCTCCTGCCCACCGTCCCCTGCTCCTGTCGCCGCTGCCAGCACACCGTCTGCCTCCCCTTCCTAGGTGGCTGTTTGCATAGGCAGGAGCCAGCGAAGGGGACAGAACGGCTGAATATTCACCAGGATTACAGGACACCGTGCCCATCTCAGCCCCGGCCTTGGGGTGGGACTCCACGTTCCCAGCAGAAACGGGTTGGGCCCCTGCAACCCCCCTCCACTCTGTCTGTAAGTCGGCCTGTGTCTGTCCTGACACCAAGGTCACAGAGAAATGACAGCCACAGGACACCTCTTACCGCAGTAGGTCAGTATTCTTTATCGTTTTCTTCTCTGAGCCCAGCCCTCTGCGGGCCCACCCTGGAGAGATTCAGAGAAGAAGAAGAAGGCCTGGGCCCACCCTCAGGGGGCCCCCAGTTTGGTTGTGATCCCAGCCTCATCCACAGTGCTGGAGGGTGAACTCAGAGCCCTGGGGACCCAGCAGAGGTGGATAGCGTGTCAGTGGAGGCTGGAAAGTAGGAATGAGCTTAGAAAAGGACTGCGTAATCATGAAGCACACATATGGGCTGGTCGAGAAGGTGACGTATCGGCAAAACCTCATTTCTGTTCCCGGCAAGGATGCCAGCCTGGATGGCGAGGTGAAGTCTGCAGGTGTCCAGGCTCTGGATTTTACAGGGGGGCCTTGTCAAGTCTCTCCAGAAGTCCTCATGGCAACAGAGAAAAACAGGAAACGTGCAAGAAGATTCATGGAGCTAAGCCATCCTGAACGGGGCAAAACCACTGTTATCAGGGGCAGAAACAAGAGGACCTACACAACAGCTCGGATTATTTTCCATATTCATTGCCTGGTTATTTTTATTATCATTTTAGACTTTAAAATGAGGAATCCCAATTGGCCAGGCTACAGACAGTGTTCTAAATTGCCCTGGATCCTCCACAGCACCGGGGGGATTGGAAAGCACATTTGATCTTCAAGGGCCCTGAATGTGTCAGTACCTGGCAGGTCCCAACATCTGTGTGCAGGTCTGCATTCCCAGAGCTTGACGGGCCAGACACTGTGACACAGACGTGTTTACAGCCTAACTCGAATCATGAATGATGAAGCTCCTTGCCCCTGCCACGTCTGGATTGAGGAATCATCTTACATCAGCAGGGCTTTATTTTTCCATTTGTGCTCATCACCAACAAAGAAAAATATTTTGAAAAGAAAACATGAAGCGTCCCCAGCCCAGACATTCCTGCCCTTGCGTTTTCATGTGCTTGGCCGTGACCTGAGGCAGGTCTCACACCACAACTAGCTCGCACATTTGCAGGACGAAACAGAGCCCCTCTGTAGACGGGCTGAGCGAGGATGCAGTGCCGGAAGCAGAGCACTGACCAGGTGTATCTTTAAGGGAGAGCCAGAGCCTCCGTCCCCTAGCTACAGAGAGACAACAGCCCAAGGACAAATACCGCAGTAATCACTGTTGATAATTATGTCAATTAGTATTACTGAGGGCTAATAATTGATATTAATACTACTAGTAATTATTATCTAAATTAGCGATTCTTTTTTTGTAACGAATTTAATGTTTTAACATCTTTATTGGTGTATAATCGCTTAACAATGTTGTGTTAGTTTCTGCTATATAACAAAGTGAATCATCTATACGTATACATATATCTCCATATCCCCTCCCTCTTGCGTCTCCCTCCCACCCTCCCTATCCCACCCCTCTAGGTGGACACAAAGCACCAAGCTGATCTCCCTGTGCTATGCGGCTGCTTCCCACTAACATCTATTTTACATTTGGTAGTGTGTATATGTCAGTGCCACTCTCTCACTTCGTCCCAGCTTACCCTTCCCCCTCCCCGTGTCCTCAAGTCCATTCTCTACACCTGTGTCTTTATTCCTGCCCTGCCCCTAGGTTCATCAGAACCATTTTGTTTTTTTAGATTCCATATATATGTGTTAGCATACGGTATTTGTTTTTCTCGTTCTGACTTACTTCACTCTGTATGACAGTCTCTAGGTCCATCCACCTCACTACAAATAACTCAATTTTGTTTCTTTTTATGGCTGAGTAATTTTCCATTGTATATAAACTAGCGATTCTTAACAAGAAGCAATTCTGTTGCCTGGGGAATCTTTGGCAATACCTAGAGTCAGTTTTCAGTGTCACAGCCAGGGGTCAGGGGGTAGGGAGGAGGGTGTGACACAGTGCTATTTTTATGTAAGGGATAAAAACCATAAAAACTGGGCGTGCTCTTAAACATCCTACCACGCACAGGATGGCCCTCACAACCATCTAAAAAATGATCCAGGCTTCCCTGGTGGCGCAGTGCTTAAGAATCCGCCTGCCAATGCAGGGAACACGGGCTCAAGCCCTGGTCCGGGAAGATCCCACATGCCACGGAGCAACTAAGCCCGTGCGCCACAACTGCTCAGCCTGCACACTAGATCCCGCATGCCACAACTACTGAGCCTGCCTGAAGCAACTACTGAAGCCCGCACGCCTAGAGCCTGTGCTCCGCAACAAGAGAAGCCACCGCAATGAGAAGCCCGCGCACCGCAACGAAGAGTAGCGCCTGCTCGCCGCAACTAGGGAAAGCCTGCACACAGCAATGAAGACCCAAAACACAGCCAAAAATAAATAAAATTAAAAAGAAAAAAGAAAGAAAAAAATTAAAAAATAATAAATGATACACTCCAAAGGTCAATTAAGGTTGAGAGACCCTGATCTAATCGTTTGTGTTCCCCAATGTTCCCCCAGGCCCACTGTCCCTTCTGAATGGGCCAGGGTCATTGAACTACCATCTCTATCTCCGTATCTGCTCAGGGTTCAAAATTTGACTCCACCACTTACCAGCTGTGTGGCCTTGGGCAAGTTATTTAACGTTTCTGAACCTCAGTTTTTCCATCTGAAAAATGAGGATGATACCTTGCTTGTAGGGTTGATGGGATAAGTAGATGAGGAAAGGCATATAAAGTACCTCATACAGAGCCTAATTCATAGAGGACAACATGTTACAAGATGGACCATCAGCAAAGAAAGAACAATCAATTCTTTGTACGGAAAAAATAAGATTATCTCTCTAGCTCACATTTACAAAATATAAATTCTAGAAGGCTTAAAGTTCCAACTGTAAAACAACAAAATAATATTTTCTTCCAAAAATTGAAATTTGTTTTTATAACCTCAGAAGAAAGGAAACCTTCTTATATACAAAATTAAAACCATAAAGAAAAGATTAATAAGTTTGACCACATCAGTATTAAAGAAAACGTATATTCAAGAAAGGACCCCATAGGGCTTCCCTGGTGGCGCAGTGGTTGAGAGTCCGCCTGCCGATGCAGGGGACACGGGTTCGTGCCCCGGTCCGGGAGGATCCCACATGCCGCGGAGCGGCTGGGCCCGTGAGCCATGGCCGCTGGGCCTGCACGTCCGGAGCCTGTGCTCCGCAACAGGAGAGGCCACAGCTGTGAAACGCCCGCGTACCGCAAAAAAAAAAAAAAAAAAAGAGAAAGGACCCCATAAATAAAACTACAAGCAAACTACAGGCTGAAAGAAATATTTGCAACCAACAATGACAAAGATATAATATCAAAAATGTATTTTAAAATACCCACAAATTAATGATAAGGAGAAAAATAACCCAATAGAAAAGTGATCAAAGGATATAAACAGGCAATTCAGAAAATAAGTAAGACAGGACCAATGAACAGATGAAGAAATGCTCAACATCACTAATACTCAAGAAAATGAAAATGAAAATAATAATGAGTTACTCTTTTTCACTTATCACATTGCCTAAAATTTTATGTCTGATAATATGATGTTTGGAATTATGTGGGGAAATGGTACTTTTATATTGTGCAGATGGGAGTGGACATTGGTATATCCACTTTGAAAAGCAATATAATCTTTTAAATCTATAAATGAACATACCCTATAAAACAGAAGTTCCACTTCTAGATATTTGCTCCAGAGGGCAGTATTATTTATAATGTGTAGTAAAGCCCAGAAAACAACACAAATGTCCAATGATAATGGAATAGCTAAATAGAATGTGATATATTCATACAACAGAATACTGTAAAGCATTGAAAGGATAAACTAATTCTATTTGCATCAACATGGAGAGATTTCAAAAATATATACTTGAGGAACTTCTGCTTCCCTACAAGACAGAGTAACAAGAGAATGATTTACTCTCCTTCTACCTTAACAGCAAGAAATTTAAACAAAACATACAAAATATTAGATTTTAATGGGTGAAGGAGGAAAGCACTCATGCTCATCTCCACGGGTACAGAAAAATCATTTGACAAAATCTAATACCCTTTCAAGATAAAAACACTCCATATGCTAAAAACAGAAGGGAGCTTCCCTGGCACGATAAAGGCCACATATGAAAACCCACAGTGAACATCATATTCAGTAATGAAAGACGGAAAGCTTTTTCCTTAAGATGAGGAACAAGACAGGGTGTCTGCTTTTGTCACTTCTAGTCAACATAGTACTAGAAGTTCTAGCCAGAATACTTAGGCAAGAAAAAGAAATAAAGGGTACCTAAACTGGAAAGGAAAAAATAAAATTATCTCTGTTCACAGATGATACAATTATATGTGGAAAAATCTTACATATTGGTATATATAAAAGTATTTTTTTTTTATGTCTGGAAGCTCCCACATCAAAATCCTAAAAATGGAGAAAAGAGGAAAGGGACAGGCTATGGAATGTGAGGAATGGTCAAATGGAACAATCGCTTTAACTCCGATATTCCAGTGTTTAAGAAAAATGTATTTGTGCACTACTTGGAAAATTAAAATTAAATGTAAAAGATCACAGTAGCTAGTGTTTAATTTTTCCTTGTCACCGGTGGGTATTGTAGATGTCAGGGTGGGATATGTCTGCACCACAAGCAGTTGGGCGTCTTTAAACAGACCATCAAGGTCCTCCCTGAAAGCCCCTCCAACCCACAGCAAAACTCCCAGGGAACCCAGCCACAGTGGCTTTTCAGTCCTGCCTCTGTCTGATGCCCCCTGGTGGTGATTCTGAGCAACTGCTGCCTCT